ACGAAGCGTGCGAAGGATGTGCCAAGATGGTTGTGTGGAGGGCAGTGGGAAGAAGAAGTGAAAAAGGGGGAGGACGAATGGAGGAAGGAAGGAGACGCTGGGCGCTGCTCTCAAAACCACGGCAAAACATCACAGGATGACGCAGTATGACTTGCAGTGCCGTAGCGTTCCGCTTTAATGGCGAAAGGCGGTATTCTCCACGACGGCTTGGCTCCATCCTGCGGAACCCGCGTGATGCTTGGGATATGCCATGTTCGGCAGCTTGCACTTGCGGCTCAGTTTTCAGCACACGGATCTCCGGCGTCTGAGGCCTGAGGCCGCTTGCGCACTCCTCCTGGCCAGGGTTCTTTACGCCTGAAGCCGCCCCCCCCCCCGCGTTCCCAATCCACGGCCACCCTCTTCTTTTCCATTTGTCTAGTGTGCCGTTGCACGGCGCGACCCGCCAGCTGTTCGACTGCGTTGGCGTTCACTTTCTCCTTTGACCAACAAGTTTGTGTCGGGCGACCTTCAACAGGAAAGGCAGAGTGGTCTCCGGCACATACGCGGTGGAGTTCGCACTGGCTGGCGGTTGTCTCGGCAGAGCGCAGCTCCTCTGTCTTGCGAGCTCACGTGCAGCGCGAACGTGTCATTGTCAGCTTGCTTCTGTTCGCCAGGATGCCCATGCGGTTGGATCGCGGCCCTTCCGTAGCCTGTGGATTCACAGTGCAGTGAACGCGGATGTGTCGCGGCGTGGTTTTCTTGCCAATTTGCCCGCGCGTTCCCCGCGCGGCCGTTCGGGCGGGCGAGTTCTCACACGATGCGTGCCAAGAGGTCCCTTTCCCGCTGGCTTTTGCCAGCCAGTCCGAGCATCAGTGTGGCATCCCCTGTTCTCGCACGCGAGGGGTGCCCCGTCTCGTTTCTGATACGCGTTTGCACATGCCAATTGCAGGACGTCCATGTTGAATTTGGAAGTTGTTGTCTCTGAGTTTGTTTTCGGTCGGTGGTTCGTCTGGTGATTCTCCCTTTCATCAGTGTTGGTTTCGGAAAATTATGTCATTGGTGGAGGGCCAGTGCGCCACCGGCAGTCATTGGTAAATGAACGGTGGCACCCCAAGATATCACACGACAGGCTTAGCGAGAACGTAGCTGGGTCCGTTCACACTGGGGCTCCTCACGTACCCTGCGCGCAGACAACTCTTAGTTTCTGGCCGTGCCCCTGGCAATATGAAATGCTTCGAGCTTTCCCCGCTGAGTCCGACAGCGCCCTTCCCAGCAGAAGGGGCCGGAACGCAGGACTATTGACAAAACGCCTTCTGAGCGATGAAAGAAAACAGGGTCGATTGCGCCGACATTCGCTCGTAAGCTACCCGCGCATGACGGTGTGTAAGCCTCCTCTTATCAACACGGTGTGCCGCGCTGACGGCTGGCGGCTGGCGTGTTGTCGTGCGTAAGGATCCTTTCTTTTCGACCTGGATGTTCGTCGTCCTCCGTCCTCACCTCGTTCCCCCACGGCTTGCGCAGGATGCGGGAAGGCAGCGATACAGTAGGCACCACGGATACCATTCTGCCTGCCAACATGCGCCCCACGGAAATTTGTTACCCCCCGATGGCCCTAGGGACCCTCAGAGGACCCGGGTCACATCAGGAAGCTCGAAGCGACACAGAAGTTGCCCCAAGGTTTCTTCCAGCAAGGCTCTTATCGTACGTGTCTATTGTCGAGACACGAGGTAGATTTTGGTCTGCGGGCGGGAGGCGGAGCGCCAGCTGCACACCAGCACCGACCGTGGTCAGACTAATCCTGGGCCGAGCATCGGTGTGCACGACTTCTCCGCCAGGCCAGGAAGGCGCATGCACCGATCCCGCGGCCCAGGACGGGCCTGGCCAGGACCGCGGCGGTGCAGGGGTACGGCCGGCGCCCTTCTGCAGGGGGTCGGGACAGGGGAGAAGAGAGAGGAGAGGGGGGAGAGCCAGCTGATGGGACCCCGCGCGGTGTGATTCTGGAGGGACGGGGGTGGGGGGAAGGAATGGGAGCGACAGGACTTCCGCCTCACGATCCCCCATGCTGTCTCGCGTGCCGCTCGAGCTTGCTGGGGCTTGCGCCCGGGAGCGACGCAGAATAACGGGTTCGATTGCGCGATGATTCGCGCGTAAGCTGCCCACGTAAGGTCGCGCGTAAACGCCCACGCTGGCGGCGGCACGCGTCAGCCATCGCGTAAGGTCGCCATCATCTCGCGTAAGAAGCACCCGTCCCTCCTCGTCGCTCATGTGCTCCACGGTGCCCCTGCCCCGCTCGTGCGTGCCGCCGCGCCCACCTCCGCTCGCCGCGCAGGTCGGAGAGACTTGGGTCGAGGCCCCCTGCTGCGTCGCGCGGCCGGCGGGCCCCGCACAACGAGCCCCCTCCTCGAGGATCGGCCGGAGCCCTCAGTTATCATGGCACGGGGCGGTCAGGGATGAATTCTGGGTCGGGCCTCTCTCGAAATAGAAAAACGCCGTAAGCAGAAAGGTTCGAGGCTCCGCGCGGACCCCCGTTTTTGCCCCAGAGTGGCCCTGGAGACTGCACTCAGCCCGAGGTTTCCTGAATCACGGTCTGCCCTGCCCCATTTCCTGGAACAGGGGTTATTCCGGATCAACCGGCTCTAGGGCATTCTTGGATCACGTTTGGGATCACCAAACAGGGATCTACCCAGACCAGGTCTATCTTGGATAACTCGGTTTCTCAATTTGGCGCGCCCGTGAGAGGAATCGGTACCGAGTTGTTCGCACGTCCCCCCCCCCTTTTCACTTTCCACAGCCCCTGCCTGCCCTTTCGCTTCCTGAGCGCACTGGCCCACATCGCTCATCAATCGCAGCGTCCTCCTCTCTCTGAGGACCTCTCTGGGTCTGGGTCCTCGAAGCGCTCGTCCGCTGAGCTTCCTGGCCCGCGGGGAGCCTCCTCTCGGCCACGGCGGGGCGAATCTGTAAGCGTTGGCCAGCATGGGCTCGGGGACGGGTCCTGGGACCGGTCTGGAGCGGGTCTCGGCCGAAGCCTTGATGGGTCACCCGCAGGGGCGCGGAATTGATTGCGTTTCGGGCGTTGAGGTCTTGGCCGACGGAGGGGCAGCGAGGGGGGGGGGGGGCGACGAGGATCGCGCGTCGCTCTCCGCCCAGCACGAAGCGCGAAGTTAGGTGACTCAGAGGATTACCGTCAGGGGACAACGCTATTCCCGGATCCTGCATGGGCCTCTCGGCGTTGAGGGGGTGTTGCTCTCCTGATTTTTGCAAGGCGGGTCAAGAACCAGGATGCTCAAGGAAGGAAAGCGATACGTGGGAGGCGGCTCAAGAGCACAGCGCAAGAGCACAGCGCGAGAACTTTCCGAGTGAGAACGACGAGCGGTCTTACTCTGTCCCTGGGTTCGTGTCCAAACTTGAGTTCCGCGCTGCAATTTAGTGGTGCATTGCTGATCAAGAAGGGCTCGTGTTATGGATCACCCACGGACGCCCATCGCTTTTCTTGCAGTCGAATGGCGTTCTCGGCGCTCACACCCCTTTGCTTGTCGAGGAACGCATTGGGCCTCAAACTGCGCGGCCGTGTGACGCAGGACCCGCCTGCCGCACGCGCCCACCCGAGTCAGGGTCCGCCCTGCCCGGCTCAGCCGCCCGAGTGGGGGCCCCGTGCCCGCCCCCGCCTGCGGAACGAATCCCCCCAAAAGAGGGCACAATCGCACACGAACAGGGCGGGTAGTTATCGAGAGTTGTGGGCACGCAAATTGAACAAGACGCGGGCAAGGAAGAACGCGCGATCTGAACCAGAGTGAGGGGGCCAGCCCGGCCTGACGTCGTCCCTGGGTGCGTGGCTGAAGTTGGGATCCGCGGTGCTGATTATTCTTATTGTGCTGCGATGTTGTATCGTCGTCTTCCTCGTCCGTGACCTCCCCCGTGGCCCACCTGGGAACCGCCCGCGACCCGTCCGCGACCCACCCGCGACCAACCTGCGTTAACGGGCTTCTTCAATTTGCTGTCAAGCATCGCAGGCAGCCGACGACCCCGCCGCCCCCTCACTCCCATCCGCAGTCGCGGGGGCTATATAGTATTGATGCTTGTGAGAGCTTCCAGGCGTTTGACCCGCCTCCCACAGGCCCCGAGGCTACTCCTTCTCCCAGATACCCCTGGTCCTCCCACTGGCTCTCGGGCTTCTCCCGCATGCCCCGAGGCACCTCCTAGCTGCTCCGAGGCCTCTTCCAGAGGCTGGGAGATATTCGGAGGCCTCTCCCAGAGGTCCTTGAGATTCTGCCGAGTGACTATGAAGCCTCACCCAGCGGCTCCAAGGTTTGTCCTAGAGAGTCCCGCGGGCGAGTGCGGCGTCCGTGAAAAGCCTGAGCTAAAAAAGATGAGTGCCTCGGGCGGCAGATCTGGTCAAGGAAAGTCTTGGCAAGTTTCTTGAATGACAGGGAGAAGGTATCAAGATTGATGCGTTGGGCATGGCGAGTTATTGGACACAATTGGTGATGATGGCATGGATAAGACTGGTTGAGGACCCGCACCGATGCCAGTCGAGTTCTTCATCAATCCAGGCGTTCTCATCGACATGCCCACTGTTGTTTACTCCAGGATGGCCTTGAGACTCAAACTGTGCTGCTGGGCTCCCAGCTTCAACACCTCATGCTTCCGCCTGATGCCTCGTCACAGTGCAATCTGGAGTTCACTCAGGAAGTATGCTCTCGTTCGGGAATCGCGCGGTCACCTGGTTTTAACACCAAGGTATGGAACGAGTGCGCTCCCGCCAGTCAGGAATCGTGCTCTCGCCTGTAGCTTCTTTGCAGGTGTCTCGCTCCCGCCTGCGATGTCCTTGCAGGTTGCTCAGGAACTGCTCTCGTTCTTGGGGATCGCCCTCTCGCTTGAAAAGTCCCCATCAATTTCACAGCGATCGCGCCCTCTTCTGGGCGCAGGCTGCTTCGGGGCCCCCGCTCGTATAGTCATCACACGTTTCGAGCCCCTGACCTCTGAACCTTCAAAGTCCTACCGCGGGCCCCCTCCCTCCTCTCTTGGCAGTTGGGCTGAAGCAGCCTGTTTGGCCCCCCCAGCCTGTTTTCAACTTCTAGTTGCAAATCACCAGCCTGAAGCGCATCCCTATCCTTATGATTAACGCCACCTGATTTCGATGCCGGTCTTGAGGATTTCCTCAGTTTCTCTGAGGGTGCTTCCCTGAGATGTTCATCGCCTTTGGGTTTGTCAGTCTTAGGGATCGGGATGAGCTCGAGACTGGTTAGCCATGCCACTCTCTGGGGCTTGCCTGCTGATGCGTGTGCATTGCCTTCTGCTACTCTTCGGCGTCAGCGAGGCGGCTGGCCGGATTGAGCTGGAGGTCGACAACACCGGCAAGTACAGCATCGCTGTGATCACGGGACAGGGACAGAGTCAAAAGTGGTTCGAATCTGAGGCGACAGAGCTCACCATCAACCACGAGTCGTTGACCACAAAGGACGGGTCTTTGAAGCTCGAGGGCATTACCAGGGGCAATGGCATCGACGCTTCTGGAGCGTATCAGCTCACTACGCTTACATGGCGTGGCGGGTATTTCGTCACAAGTTTCCGAGACTATTCCAACATGATCGTCTTCGAGCAATCGTTTCCGCGTGGCATCAAGGGCAGCACCTTGAATGCCAGTGACCCATATGCTGCACGCGATGACGTGAGCACAGCCTTCCCATCATTCAGCACGACATCCAGTGGGAGTTCTGCGGGTTACTTGGCTTTCACCGGTGACATGATGGGCTCAGGTGCAAAGCATGGCACAGGCGGCATTACGGGAATTCCTACAGGCGTGTCGGGCTTTGGACCTACATGTTTCTTCGACGTTGACTTGCAAACTAGCGTGGTGATATCCTCATTCTCACAGTTTATGGCGGCAAGTAACGGTAAACGTGAAAACGGAATTGCATACGGCCTGCAAGGCAGCATCACAGACATACCTCCAGGCTACACCCTGTCGTTTGTAATCGTAGCGTCCAGCGCTGGTGGTGTAAACGTTGCTTTTGAAGAGTGGGGTGGGAATCTGCTACGTCGATACGGCAAGTCGCGCGAGGAGACCTACGAAGATTACTCCCTTCAATATCTTGGATACTCCACTGACAATGGTGCTTTCTACTACTATCAAACCGAGGGGCACGCACCGAAACGAGGTCCACCATACACACCTGGACATACATACGAGGAGACATTGATCGATGTCAAAGCTTACGCTGTCCGGAGTAGCATTCCATATAGGTACATTTTGCTTGACAGCTGGTGGTACTACCAGGGCAAGGGCAGCGGCGTCAAAAACTGGATTGGGCGACCTGACGTGTTTCCGCACGGGAACGATTATTTACGAAATCAGACGGGCTGGCCCATTATGGGACACAACCGCTACTGGGCAGTTGACAACGTGTACGCCAAGCAGAATGGTGGCGACTACGATTTTGTGGTGGAGAAAAAGGGCGAAGGACAGGGCTTTCAGGATTTTGCGTGGCCAACAGAGCAGCGTTTCTGGGACGACCTTTTATACAACTCGTCCGCATGGGGGCTGTTCATGTATGAACAGGACTGGCTTGACACCGAGTACGACAACGTGAGGCATCTCAATCTTAACGCTACGGCAGCACGAACATGGCTAATGCAGATGGGCGCCGCTGCGGCGCGCAATCACCTTACCATACAGTATTGCATGTCGCATTGCCGTCACATCATGCAGTCACTGGAGATCCCCGCTGTGACCAATGCGCGTGCCTCTGGCGACTACCATGCTGGCGGGGACCAGTGGAGTCCCCTTGGAACTACGGGGATCTTTGGATGGTCCGTGGCTGTAGCGGCGACCAAAGACAGCTTTTGGTCTACCGATGTCCAGACGGGCAGCCCCTACGGCGATCACGCGACCATCAGAGAACCATACAATCGGCTCCAGGCGGTAGTGTCTACGATTTCCAAGGGTCCTGTTGCTCCGTCCGACAAGATCGGTTGCTCAGACTCAGCGCTCATCCTCAAATCATGCGCTTCCGACGGTAGATTGCTGCAGGGCGACAAACCCGCCATGTTGATTGATACCGGACATGTCCGCAAGGCATTTAACAAAGGCGGACCAGATGGTGAGGTGTGGGCCACCCATACCGTTCTGAGCGGGCAGACCTTCGGTGTAGTCTTGAGTGCAAAGCTCAAGTCGGACTATAGCTTATCTTTCGCCGAAGCGGGCATGCCGTTGGCGCCAAGCCTCTATGTCCACTACGAAGCTAACGCTACGAACACGATCTTTAACTCGTCGTCGATTGCCTTGAAAGCTTGCGACAAATGGGATTTTCAGCTTTTCGCTGTGTCCCCGGCATTGCCAGGCAATGGTTGGACTCTGTTGGGCGAACCAAGCAAGTGGGTCCCAGTGTCGGCAGCGAGGTTTCAGAATCTACAGTACTCGTGCCTGGATGCGTTACTGGACTGCTCAGCGTCAGTCACGGCAGTAGGTTCTGAAGGCGAAAAGATCAGTGTCGCATGGTTGGCGCCACCTGGCATCAGACGCGATTCCTCTCCCACAGTTGTCGACTGCGTCATACCACACGGCAACGAAGTTTCGATCCTGGTGTCGTCCAGCAATCCGGCAGGGAGGTGCATCACTCCTGCGCGATCCTCATCGTCTAGTGCGAGGATGCCGGTCTCAAATAATGCGGGAACTCAAGTACGGCCAGCGTCTACAATGCCGCGATCAGCATCAATGTCGTTTGTAGTATAGAGTGCTCAGAATTACGATTGGGCGTCAGCCCGTAGTTTAAGTCATGCATCTTGGGTTTCGCTCTGAGCGTTCCCGATGCTCACAGTGAACCTGCATTTCTTGCTGCGTTAGTGTGCAGGTCTCGGGTACGCACGTGATCGGTCATGACTGCCTCGGTCACGATGTCTTTGCTGTTTGAAAAATGCTCGATTGAGCATGAATGTGATCTCGTTTGGTGTGGGTGTATGCAATCATGCCGTCATGCCCCAACACGATCAAATCAACACCAGACCATCGGTCGCAACGCCATCACTATTTATCGGCGATGCGGTCCATACAATGCAGCGTCCAGTGCTACACAGCTGGGCAGGGAATGCGCCAGCTTACTCAGCAGGAAGGTGATGAGGAGGAGAACTATGAAAACACAGCAGTGGAGGAAGGCGAAGGATGGGCAGAGAAGAAAAAGGATTTCCCGAATCCATCTGGGCGCAGGTTCGGCTCGACGGGACCGTGTGCCCGCTTAACGAAGCTGCCCCCGACTCCGTTGCCAGACCCCGGACGTCATGATTCTTTCACAACGTGGACCGCCAGAACTCGACCATTTCCCCAGGACGGGTTTTCCATCCCGTGTCGCTTCTGACGGTCCCAGGGCCCGGTGAGGTCCCAGCCGACACCGGTCAAAAACCTTTGGTCCTTTGGTCGTGACTTTTTTGACGCGAGGGGATCTGCTTCTGTACTCTCTGGGCGCGCATGCTGCGGCTCGCCGTCTGGGCGGCTGGGTGCGCCGCGATTGCGGCGTGCGCATCGGCGCGCGTCCGCGGGCGGCCTGCTGCTACGGCCGCAGCCTCGGAGCAGACGGCCTCTGCAGAGGTCGAGGGCAAGCCCGCCAACCAGGGAACCTCGAGAGACTCGGCCGGCCAGGCGGCGGCGATGGACCTGGTGGCGCGCTGGATGGACGTGCAGGCTGGGCCGATCGCGACGCTGCAGGTCATTCCGAAGTATCGCGAGTGCGCGGAGATCCTGGAGGGCGCGTGGTGCAATTTCAACGAGCACATGCGAAGAAGGAAAAATTGCACAACCAGAAACTTTCGATGGTCCGCGCTGAGTTCTTGGATCGGCGCTGGGCCCTCCTGGCGGCGCCTCCAGCGCCGCCCCATGGCCTCGCTCCGCACGCCAGGGAGATGGGCCCAGTGCCGATCAAAGAAACCCGCGCGGAGCTCTGGAAGTTCATGTCCATGCTGTTTTTTCGCTCCTCTCCACGTGTGCACCTCGCTCGCGTGGAGCGCGGCCGCGAGGTTCGAGGCGAGCCTGCGCGAGTGCGAGGTGCTCCGGCAGGGGAAGGCCTACCGCGCCAGCTACGAGCGGCTGATGGAGGACTTGGCCAGGTGGTGCGGCAATGGCGAGGGCGGGGCCCAGGTGCGCGAGGGCGGCGCCAAGGAGGGTCACGAGCACGAGTAGGCCCCGGCGCCGGCCGACCGGGCGCCGGAGCGGCGATCGCCCGGGCAGGCGTGGAGAAGTGTGCGTGCGGGTGCCTGTCTCCTGTCTCCTGGAGTCGAGGGAGAAAAGGCGGCGCAGACAGGTGCTCCCGTGCTCCGCGCGTATTTCTCGGATCGGCGCTGGGCCCCCCTGGCGGCGCCTCCAGCGCCCTGACCAGGAAGGAGAAACGGTACAGACACAATGTCTCGGAGGTCCGCACGGATTTCTCAGATCGGCGCTGGGCCTCCCCTGGCGGCGCCTCGGGCGCCGTGTTAAGGAATAACGAATAACAAGCGGCATGATCATAGTTGTTCAGAGTTCCGGACTGATTTCTCGGATCGGCGCTGGGCTCTCCCTGGCGGTGCCTCCAGCGCCGTGCCCTAGAAGAAGAATAATCATATACGTTACAAACATAATGGCTCGAAGCTCCGAGCGGATTTGTCGGATCGACACTGGGCCCCTCTGGCGGCGCCTCGGGCCCCGCTTCGAGGAGTGATGAAACTGAATAAAAATCAGTCATGTTCCAGAGAGTTCCGCGCGGGCCTCTGAAAGCTTCTTCTCATGCCGCGATGTGCTCCTCTGTGTTAGTCTTCTGGTGCCCTTATGGGGTCTCCGTCTCGCGGGTCTTGCATCTTGGGGTTGTCTTGGGTTGGCAAGGTCTTCGGCAGGCGGCCTGGCGCCCTCTCCAGAGGTTCCAGCAAGTCCTGGGCCCGGGCCGTTCCGTAATTACAATATTGTTAAAGTCTCACGCCTTACCTTGAAAACATTGGAAACGACGATGACTACGACAGCGACGACGACGACGATTACGACGACGACCACGCGCTGATGACTCTGCCACAGTCTCGGGTCAGGGGGCGGGGGGGGAGATGGAGGAGAAGGAGGAGGAGGAGGAGGAGGCAGCGGAGAAGGGGGAAGAGGAGGGAGGGGATGAGGAGGTGGAGCTCTCTTGGAGCGTTTCTTCGGGGCTCATCTTGGTTGTTGCTTCTTGGGCCCTTCTTGGGCGCTCCTCTAGGAGCTCTCTTGGGGCGTTTCGGGGGCCCCCGCTGCCGTTTTGAGGCGGTCGGGGACGTCTTGGGAAGCTCTTGGCCTGTCTCGGTGACCTCGTCGACCCTCCTGGGAGCTTCTCGGGACCTTTTTCGCCCGTCTTTCCGCCCTGTTGGGCCAGAGGGTCACCGTGCCAGAGACCCACGCGACATGCCCCAGCAGCGCCCAGCGGCGCCCAGGCGCGCCAGGGGAACTAGGGGTCTGGGCCCTCAGAGACTTACAGACAACATACCTCGCATTGCTTGATGAGCCTCGGGGCACTCCACGACGTGCTGAAGGCCCGGTATCTGATATCAGATCATATATATATACACACATACATACATACTGACATACACACACATCTATATATACATATATATATATATATATATATATAGATGTATATATATATATATATATAATATATATATATATATATATATATATATGTCAGGGTACGGGGCCGGGGGCATCTGGCCAGGTGCCTCGAGTCGCCATGGGGGGACCCCCCCGGGCCTCTCCAGAGCTGCTCCGGGGCATCTCCCGAGCGGCTCTGGACGGACCCTGGTGCTGTTTCAGCATCAGGAATGGTTCCCACCTTCGACCCATGTCGCCGAAGCACGTGGTAGAGGTTTGAGGAGCCCTCCAACATGGCTCCGGACGCTTCCAGGAACACTCCCCAGAGAGCCCCGGGAGGCCAAAATCGATTGTTTTCCGGAGGGTTTCGGAAGGATTTTGGCCTTTTGTTTTTTTCGGTTGTACGACGCTCCACGACGGCCCGGGAGGTCTCCAGGTCCGCCCCCCAGCAGCCCCAGAGGCCCCCCAGACAAGCCCAAGGCGGCCCCGGAGAGCCCAAGGAAGGCCCAAGAAGCGCCCACGACAGCCCACGAAGGCTCCAAAAGAAGCCCACGAAGGGCCCAAGAGAGGGACCGCGTACCGACCACCCAGGGCTCCCGCCTCAACAGTGACCCCAGAGGCCCCAGGCAGCCCCCAAGAGTCCTCCAACATGGCTCTAAACGCCTCCAAGAGCACTTTTCTTTCTTTCTAGCTCATGGGGACCAGGTCCGAAGGAGAGCACTGGCGACGCAGAATCAAAGCGAAATGCGAGGCACTCTTAGCGGCCCACGGGGTTGTTCCCTGAGGAGGCTTAACCTACGAAGCCGACGTATACTGCGAAAAGATACGATCCACACTCGGCCAGATGCCGCACGGACCCCGCCAGCACAAGCCCGATGCACGCAGCACCCCGAAGGCTCGGCAGGCCTCAGGTACGCGGACCCTTGCCTTTGCTGGGACCTTTGCCTCTCGAGCAGCCACTTTTCCCCTTACCCCCTCCCCGCGGCCCCCTAGGGATATTTACTGTCGGAGGACCGTCCGAAAAAATCGGGGGATCAGGGACTGCCTGCTGCGCATTCGGACTTAGAGTAGGAGGAGGGGCCGAAGACGAGGACGGAGGGGCAGGAAAAGCAGGGGGGAGAACAAAACCTCTTGACCTCAGCTCAGCCAAACGCGAGCTCATCTGTAAAACTCTGCCAAACATTGATGGTTTTACCATCGTTTTCGAAGGGTTTTGGCCTTCCGATCTTTGCGGCTGTCCGACGCTCCTAGGCGGCCCAGGAGGCCTCCGAGAACGCCCCCAAACAGCTCCAGAAGCGCCCAAGGCCGCCCCGAGGCGGTCCCGGCCGGAGAGCCCAAGGCTGGCCCAAGAAGCGCCCAGGGCAGCCCACGAGTGCCCCAAAACAGGCCCGAGAGGTGCCAAGACACGGACTGCGTCCGGAAAGCCCAGGGTTTCCGCCTCAAGACAGCCCCAGGAGGCCCCAGGTAGCTCCCAAGAGGCTTCAAACATGGCTCAAGACGCCTCCAGGAGCACCCCCAAGAGGGTCCCAACAGGCCAAAATCGTTCGTTCTACGTAGGACTTGGAGGATCTTGGCCTTCTTGTCTTTTCGGCTTCTCGACGCTCCAATATAGGGCCCAGCGCGCCTCCAGGTCCGCTCCCAGACAGCCCTGGGCGTGCCCAGAGAGCCCCAGGGAGCCCGCAAGACCGGCCCTACACAACCCAAAAGTTCCTCGGCAGGATAGTCCGGGAGAGGGGGGAGACCGGGGAAGCCTCTGGCGCCCCATGCTCCGGGAACGCTCCTCTGGAACATGGCGTGCGAACGATGAGGATCGGGGATGTCCGTTCCCACGTTCCAGAAGTACGCTTCCGGAACACGTGGCTTGCAGTGCTCGACGCCGTCTTCGTGGTAAGAATCTTCGCGGGCATCGCACCTGAGAGGCGACCTCAACTAGAACCTGAGCGCGCGCGACGCGCGCCGATCGTTCTAGTGTGTGTGTATATATATACACATATGTGTGTAAGTGTATATATATGACACGAATGAGATCTACACATGTATATGTGTGTATGTGTATGTATACAAATTTAATATAAAGTAATACCGCCCCCCCCCCGGCCCCGGGTACCACACCTCCCCGCCACATTTCGGGGACGCTCCCGGTACCGCTCCCCCGGGCGTTCCGGGGAGCCTCCACAGCGCTCCCGGAGGGCCCAAAACGACTCCCACGAGCACCCAGCATGCGAAAGGATGGCCCAAGACGCTCCCAAGCAGCCCAAGGCAGCCTTCCGACGGCTCTCGAGGCTCCCAGGCAACGTCGAAGAGATCCCAAGAGAGGTCCGAGAGGCGTCCCGGGACGGCCCGAAGAGGCCCCAATCGTAGATTTTCATTGTTTTTGTTCTTGCTTTTGGCTTCTCGTGTTTTCGAGCTT